AGGGAGCCCTGACTAATGCCTACATAAAGTCCATTACAGTAGTCAAGACGGGATGAAATAAAAATGTTTATAATTCTTTCAAAATCTTTAAAAGACAGAAAAGTTTTAATCTTAGAAAGTTGCCTCAGCTGGAAAAAACTAGATTTAATTACCAAATTAATCTGTTTATCCAGTTTAAAACCATTATCCATTAAAACACTCAAGTTTTTTTTACAGAGGGCTTCAAAAATGGTTTTAAAATATCTAAATCCAGGCCAGGAGACCCACAGGCACCCCCAGGAGTAAACAATATAACTTCCGTCTTATCCTCGTTAAATTAAAAAAAAAATGTACTGCCATCCAGGCTTTAATTTCGTCAAGGCAACACAAAAGTGGCGCTAAATAATTTGGATGTTTTTGTTTCAATGGCAGATATAATTGTGTATCATCTGCATAACAATACTTCCTGAAAATGGATCCTAGAGGAAGTATATATAAAGAAAATAGAATAGGCCCCAAAATGGAGCCCTGGGGGACCCCACATGAGAAACACGCAGAAGAGGACATAAAATCCCCAAGTCGAACAGAAAAGCTTCTGCCAAATTAGCAATTACTCCACCGGCCTCGCTCCGATCCCACGGCTCTCGGCCCCGCCCCTCTCGTCACATACCCCCATCAAGCCTCGCTCCGTTCCCACGGCTCTCGGCCCCGCCCCTCTCGTCACACCGACATAATGCTCCATACGAAAGATCAAGATGTTATGGTCTACAGTGTCAAATGCAGCCATGAGATCTAGGAGCATAAGAACAGCATAGTCATCCATGTCAGTGGCAAGAAGCAGATCATTAAAAACTTTCAATAGGGCTGTCTCTGTGCTGTGTAAGGATTTAAAACCAGACTGAAATACCTCATGGAGACCATGTAAATTTAAAAATTAGTACAGTTGTGTGAATACAACTTTCTCTAGTATCTTGGAGAGAAACGGGAGTTTTGAAATGGGTCTAAAATTTGCAAGGACCGATGAATCCAAATTATGTTTTTTAATCACTGGTTCCACAATTGCATGTTTAAACATATAGATTTTTTAATAATTGATAATTTATTATACAATTAGTAACAGGGTTAACATTTTAAAGCAAAGTCCTAGAAGGAGCTCTATCGTCATGCATAACCAAAAAATCATCCACCTAGTCCGAGCTCAAAAAGCATGATTAGACAATGTTAAGGCTTGTTCACACCAAATGTTGCATGCCATCACTGTGCATTTAATTTAATTTAATTTAATTTAATTTAATTTAAAAATATATAATTTTGACTTTTTATCTCACAATCCTGACTTTTTTCTTTTTATCAATTGCGATTTTACATCATTCAGAATTGCGTGATATAAACTCACAATTATGACTCTTTTTCTCAGAATTGCAATCTATAAACTCTCAATTGCTAGAAAAAAACCTCACAACTGTTAGAAAATAGTATTTTCCCCCCCTCAGAATTAGACTTTATTACATGGCAATTGCGAGTTTATATCTCACAATTCTGAGAAAAGAAGTCAGAATTGCGGGAAAAAAGTCACAGTTACCTTATTTTATTTTTTATTCAGTAGCGAAAACAGGCTTCCATAAATCTCTTCCATTGTACTGCATCACTTCCATTGTACTCACACTTTTTTAGGCAACAGTGAATAGCAGAGGAAGAATGGTACGGGCTCTGTCTCTGTACTTGTTTTTCTTTGATAAACACAGTGACATTTATGTTAATTAAAAAATGCATATTAAAAATAAAACACAGAATACAATTTATTTTCAATGATAACATACTGTACGTTATGCCATAAATACTATTCAAAGAACTGAACTCATATTGAACTCGAATCACTCAACGAGAGTGTGACACCATAGAAGGCAACAAACAAATCATGCTTAAACCTGTAACCGGCTGTGTATGTCAACCCAAATCAAGAGGTCTAAAAACGTGCTAAGATCTGACACAGGAGGGCAGGCCGGGATTTAATTTAATTTAATTTAATTTAATTTAATTTAATTTAATTTAATTTAATTTAATTTAATTTAAAAATATATAATTTTGACTTTTTATCTCACAATCCTGACTTTTTTCTTTTTATCAATTGCGATTTTACATCATTCAGAATTGCGTGATATAAACTCACAATTATGACTCTTTTTCTCAGAATTGCAATCTATAAACTCTCAATTGCTAGAAAAAAACCTCACAACTGTTAGAAAATAGTATTTTCCCCCCCTCAGAATTAGACTTTATTACATGGCAATTGCGAGTTTATATCTCACAATTCTGAGAAAAGAAGTCAGAATTGCGGGAAAAAAGTCACAGTTACCTTATTTTATTTTTTATTCAGTAGCGAAAACAGGCTTCCATAAATCTCTTCCATTGTACTGCATCACTTCCATTGTACTCACACTTTTTTAGGCAACAGTGAATAGCAGAGGAAGAATGGTACGGGCTCTGTCTCTGTACTTGTTTTTCTTTGATAAACACAGTGAATTTAAAATCTGAACAGCTGTTTGAAAGAAAAATGTAAATACCATTTAACTTAATTTCTTCTCCATGACAAGCAGGTGTTATAAACAGAAATGTGCGCAATGCTTCCTGTATGTACTACTCTATTTCAGATTTTTCATAAGTGCCACCTACTGTCAGAGAGTGACTTTAAATTTTCATTCATCTGGTGTTACTTCGTATTGCAAGAGGTCTAAAAACGTGCTAAGATCTGACACAGGAGGGCAGGCCGGGCTGACCTCATCAGCGGGGTGACCATCCTCACTGTACGTCTAAGACATTCACTGAGCCAGGACAAGCAGGAGCCTCTAAGAGGATTACAAAAGACAAGCTGAGAAAACATGATGAGCCAAAGCCAGAGATGCACTTGAGTATGTAATGATGAGCATATGCTGTTTGATCAAATGAAACCCGGAGCTACTAAAGAGAAATGGATTTTTTAAATGTCTTAATATGTGCTTGCCTATTAAAAACTTGCAAACACAATATAATGTTGTGTGTGGCTGCCAGGGAGTTGCAAGGGTTGTTAAGTTGTTATGCCGTTGGTAAGTTATTCAGAGTGATTATTAGTGTGATGCTGTTTGGTTGGCAGAGGGAATTAGTTTAATGTCAGGTTCACACTGCAGGATTTTAGCCCAGATTTTGTGGAAATTGCAGACAAATGCCCTGAAATCAGAGGCAAATTGATTCTCATTTCATGCGAGTGACAATTGCGTAGTGAATTGTCAAAGACGCAATCTAAAGCTCACACTGTGCGATTTTGGCCACGATTTGGTCGTCTAAGACAAATTTTGAAAATCCGAAAAGATTCCTATAATCCTAGGCTAAAATCTGTAGTCTTTGATCGCTGGTTTGACATGTTCACCGACAGCTGATTAATAGCCGTTGCGATCAAATTTTACCTCCGACGAAATTATGGCAGTGTCAGAAGATTTGCCGCACAGTCTTGCAGTGTGACGCCTCCTATGACAAACGTCAAACTGTCTTCGTTTTTCAAGACAAGCCATGATCAGAATTAATGCTAGAGATGTCTTCTAACTGCCATAAACTCCAGCGCTCCCGTCCTCCGCTCACGGGATTCATATGTCGCCTTTGCTATGATAAACACAGGTTGCTCCGCTGTTTTCATGTGGGTGTGTAGTGCTGCTTACACTAATCTTCTTAAATATGCCGGTATTGCTGTCATTCATATACTTTAAATGATAGCCAACATTACAGCCCCGCGTTTAATGCAGCTCGCAGTCACTGAACATGTATGGGTTGATAATGTAAAAACTCAGAGTTTTCTTCCGCGCACCTGTTTTTAATGCATCTGGACTGTCGTAGAGTCTGACATTAATGACAACTGAGACAACAATGACAACATGATCATCATGTTCATACAGTCTGACAAGCAACAATCGTAAAGGACTATTAAAAATCGCACAGTGTGTGCCTGGATTAAGAGAAGCGCCAATGCGTCGCCGATGCCCGTGAGATATTTGGCATGTTAAATATCTGGACCTGTCGGTGACTCATAGTTCTGCAGTGTGAAATCTGCTTTGACTGGAAATGACATCGCGACAACCTACAGCCAATAAGAGAGCACGACACAGGGCAAGGGAAAGTCATAATAGACCTGTAACAGAACAACGGCAAGCCAGGAGCCCTTCCTGGGCTTGACTGGGGATCAGGAGCCCTTCCTAGGCTTGACGGGGGATCAGGAGCCCTCCCTGGGCTTGACTGGGGATCAGGAGCCTTCCCTGAGCTTGACTGGGTATCAGGAGCCCTCCTGTGGTGCTGGCACTGGAGGGTGCTCTGGAGGAGCAGGCACAGCAAAACGCTTTCGAGGAGCTGGCACTGGAGTGAGTTTTGGGACTGGAGCAGACACTGGAGTGAGCTCTGGGGCTGGAGCCGACACTGGAGCGAGCTCTGGAAGGCGCTTACGAGGAGCAGGCACTGGGGCTGGAACCGACACTGGGGCCTCATGAACACATGGCTGGCTTGCCATATTATCGTCCGGCACGCTTGCCACATTAACGTCCGTTGGGCTTGCCACATTAACGTTCGACGGGCTTGCCACATTAACAGCCGGCGGGCTTGCCTGAGGAATGGCCGGCTTACTTGACTCGGGAACGGCCGGCAGATGGGTCCCGGATCGGGAAAACATTTGACTGAATTTTCATGCCAGACATTCATGTTGATTTAAAAAAAATCACTCATTTAAGCCTGTCCCTCAATGAGAGTGTGTGACACCATAGAAGGCAACAAACAAACCATGCTTAAACCTGTAACCGGCTGTGTATGTCAACCCAAATCAAGAGGTCTAAAAACGTGCTAAAATCTAACAATCCAATCTGTCACGTAATGTGCACACCACAGTAACTAGATGGAACCCCAGACAGTCATGCAGTGTGAAAAGAGCAGCGATCCAACGACTTTGAAAATCATGCAGTGTGAATCCAGCATAGGATAAAAAAGACATTGTTTGTGTGTTTACTAACTTTGCATTAGATGGCCGCTTCACTGAGCAGAGATACGGTGTCACTCTTTAAGGACAGCAGGTCGCTGCTGCTGAGTTCAGTGCCATTGCTGGGACTCGCATTGCGACTGGAATCACTGTGAATCATGTCCTCAAACATCACAGATAAATGTATGTCCTCCGCCTGGTCTGATGAGACCTGAAATACACAAATACACATTCAAAATGTCAGCAAAAATAGAGAAATTATACACTGAATTCATGTTACTCTTCTGTTTCTATTCTATTTAATTCTGTTTCTATTCATACCTGTTACTATCTAAAATTAACTTTTAGCAAATTAAATGCAACATACTGTATTTAAACTTAAAAGTTGGCATGAAAGGAACATTCTTGCTTCTTGAGAGTTGTGATGGTTTCAGAACTTCAGGTGGAGGTTGGCAGCTCATTCCATCAGAGAGGAGCAGAGAAGGTGAAGGTTTTGGAAACCAACATGTGAACGAGGCGTCACTCATTCAGTGACCGTGTATTTTGTGGATGGATGGATGTAAATGGATGTTATAAATATTATTGTGAATGATTCATTGATTGTATATTTTTTCGGATTTGACATTATATTAGCCCTTGCAATGTTTAAATTGTAATTTTTGTGGAATATTGCAGTGTTTATTAAAAAATTATTTTGATCTCTTCTCTCATGTCACAATAGAGAATACGATTGCAATTTCCATTTCATGCCGACTTCAAATTGTAATAGATCCTCCAATGAAAATGACAGGCTGTTTCTTTCTTTCTTTCTTTCTTTCTTTCTTTCTTTGAATGAACTGAACATGTCAAAAACCGCTCAACAAGCAATGGAAGGAGCAAAGTCCCTGTCTTACATTTTCAACATTATCTTTATTGATAATCCATTACACTCTGATATAAATGTTATGCTCAAAGGTATTGTTTTTCCCAGAGAAACTGTGCGTTCACTCACAAACCATTTGAGTTCCTCAAAGAAACTTTCTATTCTCTTACAAAATATTTGCGTTTCTTGCAAAACTATTTCCCTTGAGAAATGTTGTGTTTGCTCACAAAAGCAATGAAATACAGTTTTCCAATACTTTTACAAATATGTTGTGAGTGAACGCAAAGTTTCTCAGCTGAACACAAACATTTTGCGAGAGAATGCAAAAGCATTGAAATATAAATATGTATTAAAATACCGTTCATCAAAACGATGGACACTATTTTGAATGATCTAGTTTAGGTGCTTACTTTGAATTATCAGTCTAGGTGCTAACAGATCAAATGAATATTTTCAAAAAACTATTCAAACAAGAATAGTGCAGAACCAGTGTGATTCTCAACACATCAACACAGATCCTCAACATGAAACAAACCTCAGCGATCAATTTCAATAGAACATGAAGTCTTTCAGCTCTCCATGACATCTCTTAAAATTCCCTTATGTGAAGCTATTTATCATATAAAACAATTCTTTTGCAGACATGATGCGAGTTTCATTCGTTTGTGCCATGGAAGAGAATGAAAAGACTCGCCTTACTTGGTGCATGCAATTAAAGCCCAACAAAAAGACACAGGAAACAGTTTAATATCTCATAGAGACTGTAATTACCCGGTGAGAGTCCCATGGGACCTCATTACTGAAACACTCTCATCACACAAATCGCTTATAAAAACACTCTCCTCCAGCAGTAAAGCACACACACACTCGAGCCATTCAATAAAAGAGACACATCAATCAGTCCAGGGGGGGATAAGGTTTACTCAAAAATTTGAAGCAGCACAACTATTGTCAACATTGTTAAAAAATAAGAAATCATTTTGAGCAGCAAATCAGCATATTAGAGTGATTCTGAAGGATAATGTAACACACAAAATCAGCTTTGTCATCACAGGAATGAATTACAATTTTAAATAAATTGAAACTTCAATTATTTTTAATTGTAATAATATTTCAAAGTAGTACAGTTTTTTCTGTATTTCAAATAAACACAGCCTCAAATAAACACACACAAAAAAACACCAGGACAAAGGAAAAAAACAGGAACAAAATAGGGAAACAATGGAATACAAATAAAGTCCATAAACCAGAAAATGAAAACCAAACAAAACCATTTGTTTTCTTATCGTTTTTGGGTGAAGTCATGAAATTCACCTGGTTAAAGGAAAGAAGTATCTTTGTGGAATTGCAAAACTTCCACCTATTTCCCAAACACTCCCACGTTGTCCACTAGCTGGACAAACAGATCCCACTCCAAACTCCATGCTCAAGGCATGTTTACCCGACAACGCTTTCTACTAAAAACAGAAAATGTTTTATGCAGTTTGGCTGTTCATTTACACAACAATTTGCGAGTCTTTGAAAACAATACTGTTATTGGGTAAACTACAAAAAAATGTGAATTTGCGAAAACGGTGACATCATGCACATGCGTTACGCGTTCAGTCTATAGGAATGTGTTTCCTTGCAAAGTGACATCGCCACCTACTGGTCTGGCAGGAATAATACAGTGTTTTTACTCGTTTTCACAGATCTGAGTGAACAGTAAGCGTTTTGACCTTGTCGCCTGTAAGCGAAACTTTCCAAAAGTCAAAGGAAAAACGTTTCCGTTTTTAGTACATTGTTGTCGTGTTAACATACCCTCAGTTTATAGTTGAATTTTACATTCACGTGTAGGGATTCGGTCTACGCATAGTCTGTGAAATGAAAGTGTGCCGGGAGTTACAGCCCTGATTAATGTGGCCCTGATTACAGGGACAAAAGGGTAATAGTTTATTTTCACCACAGCTGCATTTGTCTCCAAAACATGCAAATGTGTTGCCTGTACACTTCTCTTCATCTTCATATTATTTTGGATCATCCAAACAGCACGCGCACGGCTAAGATAAATGACATTACCGGAAAACATTACTCTCTCTCGTCTTCTTTATTGCTGTCCTTTAACAGACCTGTCAAAAAGCCTCTAAAAACTCAGCGGACACGTTCAGTCTGAGGCCTAATTAACTTTGTGCAAGTATTCATGTACTGGCGGGAAGGAAACTAAAGCTTCACTTTGCTGGTTTTGATCAGTATCACGGAGTGAGCAGAAGTGCGAATGACAACTGGAACATTGTCATAACGACTATCTCTGATGATCATGTAGCGCCACACTTCTAAAGACTCTTCACACGTTTTAAGATCCACGAGTCAACTGAACTGCTCGAATGAGAACAGGGGAGAGATAAACTTGGGGGGAGGATGTTGAACGTTAAATAACAAGAGAATCTCGTGTCAACAGCGCTGCATACATCTGCGACTAATCAAAGAGAATAAACAAGGCTGTGATTCGCGCGCACCTTGACAGGCCGAGCGGAGAGCCAAAGCGAAGGCGTTTCTGACAGGCGACGACTCCGGGTGAGCCTCCGAGTTACTAAACTCAACTTTTTACAATCGCGACGCTATATATGCGATGACATCGCAGCGTGAGTCTGGCACATTGAGAGCAGTTTTACCTCGAGCTCTGCTGAAATGCTGCGTGCGTTTTAGAAACTACCACATCACACCTGAAAGGCTGTCATAATACCACGTCACGTCCTGCACCCCGCTATCAGTCTACTGCTAAACACCCTACAGAGACACACAATCGCTCCTAAACCTTTAAAGCTAACACGCTGCACTTTTACATTTTAGCATTTATTTTTTCCCCTGAAGTCCACTTACAAACTTAGCCGAGGTCTCTTGCAACAGTGAGGTCGGAATTTCATTTCATTGACCATTTTCCACCCTCTCTCTGATGTAAACCCTTAGGAGTAAGTTAAACAGTTGACTGTTGTCGCTACTGTACCTTTAAGATGTCTAAATTTAAATGACCTCTGTAATGACTGGTTACCCTCCAGCACAGTTCACATTGTCACTCAACAGTGCTGAGCACTGAATAGATGTTGATATGTAAATGTTTGTGGCCATATGCTAATGAGCTCATGGTTGTGATGTCATTAGCATGAAGATTTCTGGACTATTTTTGTAGTTCACTTTCAACACAAACTCTTAAAAACTGAAACTAAGATGTTACTAAGATGAACTAAGATGATCGTTCGCTTTTATTCTAAAACCACGAGTGCAGCGCATCTTCAGCGCGTTAGCATTCGTTAGCTTGTCATTAGCGTTTCCATTCGTGCCTATTGCTTTTTTTTCTTTCTTTTTTTTCCTATCGCTCCGTTTTTTTTTCACAAGTTCATCAAACAACTGTGGTAAGTAAGAATCATTCATCAATCACGGTGAGTAATGGCTTTTTCTCCTGCATTGACTTGATTGCAAAGGATTGCAACGATACTATTTAAACTTAACTGAGCTGGATGATGACATCACTGAATTCAATGATGAACTGCCTTTAACTGAAAAATTAGTGTTTACTATTGTCACTTTTGCATTATTGACACACTATTTTCCTAATTAATGCTGTTCAGTTGCTTTGACACAATCTGTATTGTTAAAAGCGCTATATAAATAAAGGTGACTTGACTTGACATGTAATCGTTTTTGGGGTTTTTTAAATCAGATTTGTGTGTGATTTTTAATTGTGTCTAACAATTATATTGATATAAAATGAGTCATACTTGTAGTTCTTGAGACTGATCAGTCTCATAATTTCTCCATTCTCAAATATTTTGATTCAAATTTAACAAAAATGGTAAGATTTGTTAAATACTAATACTGATTTATTTTTATTTATTTTAATTTTAGGCATTTATTTTGTTTAAATATTTACTAAATTTATAAGAAAAAGTGCGTATTTTAGGTGCTGTAACGGTTAATCATTTAACGTTTTTCACAATTTTAAACACATATTTGCTGTCACTTTTAATTTTCATGGCATTGCGTTGAATTTTTTTATTTAATTACAAAAATTAATTAATTTGGCCTCATAAACTGCACAATAACAACAGCAACAATTAGATAAATATCAACTAACCAAATAAATATAAATAATATTACAAATAAAATATTACTCCTCCACTAAGTTACAGCATATAGTGAATGGCAACTATATGGAAGTGCATACAGCACTGTGCAATATAGACCAGTAGTGTTATGCATACTCAGATCCCACATTCCTGCTGACTATTCTCAAATAACAACCCATTAAATGCTCAAAATTCTGAAGCATTCATTGAAAGAGGTAATAACATTTAGAAGGCAGTGTGAGAGAT